AGTCTTGCTAGCTTTTCTCTTGTCTTTTTAAACATTTTTTAATCTCTTCACTTTCTATGCTCATGATAATTTTAAGGGCATAATTAACACTTTCCTGCCACAGCACCTTAGAACCATTTGATCCACACTGAAAATGTGTATTAATTTGAATCTCAGAGAGCAAGTGTTGGAGGTTCCATGCCTCCCTTCTTGAAAGCCCTTGGGCTTCTTATAAACATTCCATCCTTCCCCTCCAATTTCCTGCCTCCACATATGGATACAGCCTCACTTCCTACTTAACCTGCTGCTACACCACCCTCACAGGATTATGAAAATTGAATGCAATCATGTGTATATGTCCAGCATGATCCTTAGAACCGTGTACAGTATTACTAAATACGAGCAGGGTGCGGCGGCTCACACCTGTCATCCCAGCACTTTGGGAGGCCAAGGCAGGTGGATCACCTGAGGTCAGGAGTTTGAGACCAGCCTGGCCAACATGGTGAAACCCCATCTCTACTAAAAATACAAAAATTAGCCCAGGCATGGTGGTGGGTGCCTATAGTCCTAGCTACTTGGGAGGCTGAGGCAGGGGAATCACTTGAACCCTGGAGACAGAGGTTGCAGTGAGCTGAGATTGCACCACCACACTCCAACCTGGGTGACAGAGACTTTGTCTAAAAAAAAAGACTTCCCTTCCCCCTTCTTGATGCTGTGTGGAGCGGAAGATGAGCAATAGCCAAGAGTACCATGTACTGAGTACTCCTGAGTGCTAGGTGGTATTCTGAGTTACGGATTTTACTCGGGGCAGTAATGCCCCCCATCTTTGCCTTTCCTGCCTGGAACTTGGAGCTCTAGTAAGCGTCTTAAACCATGAATTGTAGTCCTCAAGGATAAAAGAGCCTGGCTGACTGACACAATGGAGCCACCAGACGAGTCCTTAAAAGACAATTTGTTGAGCCGGGCGCGGTGGCTCAAGCCTGTAATCCCAGCACTTCGGGAGGCCGAGGCGGGTGGATCACGAGGTCAAGAGATGAGACCATCCTGGTCAACATGGTGAAACCCCGTCTCTACTAAAAATACAAAAAATTAGCTGGGCATGGTGGCACGTGCCTGTAACCCCAGCTACTCAGGAGGCTGAGGCAGGAGAATTGCCTGAACCCAGGAGGCGGAGGTTGCGGTGAGCCGAGATCGCGCCATTGCACTCCAGCCTGGGTAACAAGAGCGAAACTCCGTCTCAAAAAAAAAAAAAAAAAAAAAAAAAAAGACAATTTGTTTCATGTGAAAGAGAAAAGAATCTCTATCTTCTTAAAGCCACTGTTATTTGCTTTTCTATTATGTAAGACAGAGCTTAATCCTGATACTTAGGAGAAATACATGTTTTCAGTTTATTACAACCATGTGTTTGGTTGAGCCAAATTTTCCTGCTTCCATGAAAATCATTTTTGCTGGCCAGTAAATGATAATACATTTAAATGTCCACACTAAAATTTATATTTTTCAAACAGCCCATTGGGTATTTTCATGCTGATATAAGTAATTGAGACACAAGGCCTTAAGTAGCTAAGACACTGGTATTCCCTATGAAAGTATTCTTGCTCTTTATAAGAGGTTATCTTGTTTAACCAAGCACACAAAGGTATATGTCAGGATACTGAGGAGGTACTGAATTTGCTCTTCTTGAATTGAATTAAGAGCAAGTCTCCACAGAGCACTCCCAGTGTAAGTTAGCCAGGCTGTGTGTATCAAGAGAATCGAAGGTGAAACTCTCAAGCCATGGTCCTCAGTCTCAATGGCGGAATGTGATAAAGATATAGGTCATGTCACTGTCATATAGCAGGCTAATGTGTTTGGTCACCGTGTTAGTCCATTTTCACATTGCTGTAAAGAACTGCCCAAGACTGGGTAATTTATAAGCAGGTTTAATTGACTCACAGTTCTGCATGGCTGGGGAGGCCTCAGGAAACTTACAATCAGGGCAGAAGCCAAGGGGACGCAAGGCGGCAGGAAGGAGAATGAATGAAGGAAAAACTACCAAACACTTATAAAACCATCAGATCTCGTAAGAACTCACTCACTATCACAAGAACAGCATGGGGGAAACTGCCCCCATGATTCAATTACCTCCACCTCGTCTCCCCCTTGACGTGAAGATTATGGGGATTACGGGGATTACAATTCAGATGAGTTTTGGGTGGAGACACAGCTAAACCATACCAGTCACTGAATCATTATTAAAATCGGAAGTAGTACGTACATGCATGCACACACACACAAATGAGGAGGCTGAAGAGTTTAGAGGAAGGCAATGTGGTGCAGGAGTGAAAACTATGGATTCTGACTTCAGGCCCTGGATGATTCGCTTAATCTTTCTGAGACTGTTTCCTCATCTGAAAAACAGTGGGTCTTTCTTTTTTTTAAGATGGGGTTTCACCATGATGGCCAGGCTGGTCTTGAACTCCTGACCTCAGGTGATCCACCCACCTCAGCCTCCCAAAGTGCTAGGATTACAGGCGTGAGCTACCACGCCCGGGCCAAACAGTGGTTCTTAAAACTGACGTATTGTGAGGATTAAATTAGGATGTGTGTATAAAATGGCTGGCACAAAGGAAGCACTCAATAGATGTTAAATAAGGTAGGTTTGTCTTTATTTTTAACTTGTCAATAGGCTAATCTGGAGCAAAGACGGAGAAAAGACTAATCTGTCACTTCAGCAGAAGGCTTTACTCCAGGCCATCTGAGCCAACCCCCAGCCAGGCCCCAGGGAGCTAGCCCACTGAAGTCCAGACCCTGACACCCAGGCCTTTGGCGGGTCCTAGGGCCCCTCACCTCCCTAAGGGAACAATGCTCTACATCACCAAAGCCCAGAAGAGCTTTCAGGCGTAAGTACAGATTAAGTTCCAGTTTTTATTTAAAGATCCTAATTTCTGGACATTTATTTGGGGCATTACCGTGGTGGCTTAAGCTTCTTTAAGACGTTGTAAGTTGAAGTCTTTCCTTCACTTGGCTGCTAAAGTTTAATTCAGCGTAATTATTTCATATGGCATCAACTATAATAGTTTCATAATTTCTAGTATATTAAGCACTTAATATGTTGTGTCATTTGAAATCGCATATTAAATTCAGCAAAGTACATTTTAATGAGAGCTAAGTGGTGTGAAAATATTAATACAATGTGATGGTTCATCTTGGTGCTCTGATTTTGTAGGTCTGTTCCTAATGCACAAGCGCCGCACTTACCAGGTAAGGGGAGCTCTGAGCTGCCTGAGGCTCCATTGGGTGTCTGACAATACTGATATTCCTGTCTTTTGTTGTATAGCAATTTATAGTGGGATTTCTCTTGGAGCCTCACAACTCTGTAGAGTAAGTAGGAAAATCATCACTTTCATTTTAGAGATGAGAAAACAAGGTCAGCAACTGGAAGAGACTGGTGACCCAACTAGTCACAGTTGATGAGACATAAGTATGGACCTCCTTGGCCGAAAACCATTGCAGTTTTCCCCTGCATCACTGCTGCAGTCAGTGTAGCCTTGCAGGGAGTGATGTCTAGACTCCAGGGCAGCCAGGATTTGGAGAAGGTATGATGCTTTTCCTCCCATCCCTGCAAACCCACATAGAGAAATTGAGGACTAGAGAGAAGCTGACACCCCCCATGCTCAGACTTGGCAATTCCTTTTTGGACCTTCTTTCTGAGCATGCGCTCCACGCTCTAAACTTAAGCAACTTAGGCCGTTAGGCCACCCTGGGACTGCCAGAAAAACGGGACTTGATGACATAAATCATAGTGAACCTTTGACAGAGCAACGGCTCAAAATAATGATGTTATCAGTGGCAGGATTTAAGGCAAGAGGAAGAGATGATCTGGAGAGAGCTTCCCAGAACCCCTCAAACTGTACTCCCATATTCCATCTCAGTGTAAAGCGAGCCCTTGGAGTCAGAGAGATCCAAGAGCAAATTCCAGGATCGTCACGAGCTGTGTCCTTGGATAGGTCACCTAACCTCTCTAGGTCTAGGCTTTCCCTATCAGTAAAAGAGTAAGATTAACCACCACCACCCCCACCGCCCCCCATGCTTATGTCTCAGAGATACTCACATGAAATAGGACACCAGAAGACCTTGTGTTGGTGTTAAAGGGCAAGGAATCACACTAAGCTAAGTAAAAAAGTCTTACTGAGTCTACTTAGTGTCACATCTCAAAACATAACTGCATCTTAACCAGGGCCTTTGGTAGCTCAAATCCAAAGCATTAAAGACATCTAGGTGAAAATACTCCCTGACATGGCTAAAAGGAGCAAAACTTAGGGACTCCTCCCTACCCTGATATTTTCACCTTAAAAAAAGCTTATTTCATGCAGATAGTTGCAAGATAAAGGAAAGAACAGTAGGGCCGGGCGCGGTGGCTCAAGCCTGTAATCCCAGCACTTTGGGAGGCCGAGGCGGGTGGATCACGAGGTCAAGAGATCGAGACCATCCTGGTCAACATGGTGA